TAACCCATAATCACAAAGGGTTTCTTCTATATTTTCTTTCAGAAATTCTACTGTTTAAAGGTTTTTCATTTAGGGGCTGGTGCTATGGCATAGCCGGTAAAGCCACCAGCTGCAATGCCGGCATCCCCTATGGGCACCTCTTTGAGTCCTGGCTGCTCCACTCTCATACAGCTCTCTACTATGGCCTGGGAAAGCAGAAGATAGCCAAATTCCTGGATCCTGGCTTCAGATCGGTGCAGCTCCGGCTGTTGTGGCCATTTGGGTAGTGAACCATTGGATGGGAAGACCTCCCTCACCCCCCGCCTCTCTGTAACTCTGCCTTTCAAATAAATAAATAAATCCTTTAAAAAAAAGATTTTTCATTTAGTTCTAGTATCTACTAGGAGTTACTTTTACACGATATGATAGATGAGTTGAAATTTACTTTTTGCACAAGACTTTCTAGTTGATTTGGTGCCCTTTGTTGAGAAGACTGTTCTTCCCCACACTGAATTACCTTTACACCTTTTTTTGAAAATCCATCAACCATTTATGTCTCAGTCAACTTCTGATTTCTCTACTCTGTCTGTTGATTCATTTGTCTATCTTGTTCCAAACCAGGCTATCTTGATATTTTAGCTTTAAAAACAGTCTTGAGGGGCAGGTATCTGATGTAGCAGTTTATTACCAATCAGGACACATGCAGCTCATCTTGGACTGCCTGGGTTCAAATTCTGGCTCCACTCCCAATACCAGCTTCCTGCTAATGTGCACACTGGAAGATAGCAGGTAATGGCTGAAGTACTTGGGTCACTGAAGCCCACATGGGAGAACTAAATTGAGCCCTGGCTTCCTTTGTGAGCATTTGGGGAGTGAACAAGCAGAAGGGAGCTCTCTCTGCCTGATTTTGTCTCTCTGCCTCCCAAATAAAAAATAAATAAATAAAATAATGAAAAAAATGTAAAATCAGTCTTAAAATCAGGAAGTGCAAGTCTTCCAACTTTGTTCTTTAATAAACTTGATGGGGTTATCAGAGGTTACTTGCTTCTCTATATAAATAATTTAAAATCTACTTGTCGGCCAGCGCCGACACTAGGCTAATCCTCCACCTAGCGGCACCGGCACACCAGGTTCTAGTCCTGGTCTGGGCACCGGATTCTTTCCCAGTTGCCCCTCTTCCAGGCCAGCTCTCTGCTGTGGCCAGGGAGTGCAGTGGAGGATGGCCCAAGTGCTTGGGCCCTGCACCCCATAGAAGACCAGGAGAAGCACCTGGCTCCTGCCTTCGGATCAGTGCGGTGCGCTGGCCGCAGCACGCCAGCCGTGGCAGCCATTGGAGGGTGAACCAACGGCAAAAGGAAGACCTTTCTCTCTGTCTCTCTCTCTCTCACTATCCACGCTGCGTGTCAAAAAACAAACAAACAAACAAACAAACAAAAAAACTACTTGTCAACTTCTACAAAAGAAAGGAGCTTATATTTTGACCATGATTGTGTCAAACCTATGTAAGAAGTTGGAGGCAACTGACATCTTAAGAATACTGAGTCTTTTTTTATTATATATGAAAGATAATTCTTTTTTTAAAGATTTTATTTATTTATTTGAGAGGGTAGAGTTATAGACAGAAAGATCTTCCATCTGCTGGTTCACTCCCCAAATGGCTAAAACAGCTGGAGCTGAGCTGATCAGAAGCCAGGAGCCAGGAGCTTCTCCCAGGTCTCCCACATGAATACAGGGGCCCAAGCACTTGGGCCGTCATTCACTGCTTTCCCAGACTATTAGCAGAGAGTTGGATTGAAAGAGGAGCAGCTAGGATACAAACCCATATGGGATGCTGGTGCCACAGGCAGAGGCTTAGCCTACTACGCCACAGCACTGGCCCCAAATATTGAATCTTCTAATTAATGGACACAGTATGCTCATATCTATTTACTTCTATAATTTATTCTTCAATTTCTTCTCAGAAATGTTTAGTAGTTTTCCTCCTTTCATATTTAGATATGGTGAATCAATTTCAAATGTTAAAACTTATTTTGGATTCCTGAGATATTTAGTCATGAGGTATCATCCTTTCCAAACACCTGTATTGTTGGATCCAATCTGTTAACATTTTGTTATGAATTTCTGCAAGTATATCCATAAAGTGTGCTAACTGTACTTTTCCAAAGAGCTCATATTGAGTTGAAATTTTTTCTTCCTAAATGTTTGCTAGAGTTCATTAGTGAATTCACCACTAAACTCATCAGTGAACTTGGGGCCTACAGTTTTCTGTGTGGAAAAGTTTTCTTTAATGGATGACCTGAATAGCTCTACATCTATTTCTTCTCCTGTGAGACTTGTTAGTTTGTATATTCTAAGGAATTTGTCCCACTTATCTGTCAAATGTATTGAAACAAAGCCATTTACAATATTCCTTTACCTTCCTTTTAATATATACAGAATCTCAAATGATGAAATCTCTTTCATTCATTGAATTGGTAATTCAGGCCTTCTGTTCTTTTATTCTGATCAGTCAGACTAGAGGTTTATCAATTGTATTGGTCCTCTCACATTTTTGTTTCATTGGCATTCTCTATTTTTCTTCTGTTTTATATTGCAATGATTTCTACCCTAATCTTTATTGTTTTCTTTTTCTTCTTACTTTGGATTTAATTTGCTTTTCTTTTTCTAGCTTTTTAAATTGAAAGTTGGGGTCACTGATTCTCTGTCTTTCCCTCTCACTGTCTGTGACTCTACCTCTCAAATAAATAATAAATAAAATATTTTTAAAAAAACAATTTTGAAATTCATGCAGATTGTTTCCATAAAATGCATTTACATGAAGTTATTGAAGACCCTTCAAACTGCATTAGCTACATCCCACAAATTTGGTACTCTGCATATTTTTAAAAAGATTTATTTATTTATTTGAAACACAGAGCTACAGAGAGGCAGAGGCAGAGAGAGAGAGGTCTTTCGCCTGCTGGTTCACTCCCCAAATGGCCGCAACAGCCAGAGCTGGGCTTACCTGAAGCCAGGAACCAGGAGCTTCTTCCAGGCCTCCCATGTGGGTACAGGGGCCCAAGGACTTGGGCCATCTTCTACTGCTTTCCCAGGCCATAGCAGAGAGCTGGACTGGAAGAGGAGCAGCCAGGGCTTGAACCAGCACTGTAGGCGGTGGCCTTACCTGCTGTGTCACAGTGCTGGCCCCTCTGCATTTTCATTATTAAGATATTTGTAATTTCATTTCTGTTTTCTTCTTTGAATCATGAGTTATTTTGCTCCTGTAATTTATTTCACATCTTCAGTGACTTAGCGTTCTTCTACACACTGGGGGATTTTCTGGATCTTTCTGTTATTTACTCCTAAGAACTTCTCCATTTGGCCAGAGAACAGTGCTCTGGTACTGACTAGAGTACTTTTTAATTTATTAAAATATTTTATGCCCTAAAATATGGGTCATTCTGGTATGTGTCTCATGTACAGTTGAAAAGAAGGTCTGTTCTGCTTTTGGTGGTAGAGTTTTTGTAAATGTCAATTCAGCCAGCCTTGTTGATAGTATTATTCAAGTTTTCCATAGCCTTACTAAGTTTATGTCTATTTATCAGTTACTGCAGGGTTGAGTAACCTTTTCTCTGCCAAGGGCCATTTGGATACTTATAATATCATATGCAGGCCATACAAAATTATCAACTTAAAAATTAGGGGCTCGCATTGTGGTGTACTGGGTTAAGCCGCCACCTGCAACACCAACATCCCATATGGGCATTGGTTTTTGTCCCAGCTGTTCTACTTTTGATCCAGTTCCATACTAATGGCCTGGGAAAGGAGAGGAAGATGGCCAACGTGTGCTCGGGCCCCTACCACCCACATGGGAGACCCGGATAAAATTCCTGGCTCTTGGCTTTGACCTGGCTTAGACCTGGCCATTGTGGCCATTTAGGGAGGGGAGTGAATCAGCAGATTGAAGATGTGTGTTTCTCTGTCTCTCCCTTTCTCCTTGTAATTCTTTCAAATAAATCAACACATCAAAAAAAAAAAAATTAGCCTGCTATATGAGTTTCAAGTCCTGCCTGCAGTTGCCTTGGCAGGGCAGAACCAAATGATTTCGTGGGCTTTACATGGCCCACAACTCGTCATTCCCAGCCCTCAGTTACTGGGTGGCTGGTGCTGAAATCTCTGACTATGATTGTAAGCATATCTATTTCTTCTTTAAGTTGTATCATGTTTTGCTACAGGTTCATATTTCAAAGCTCTGCTTTTAAGTAAACAAATGTTAGCATTATTATGTCTTCTTTATGAATTTTTCCCTTTAACTTTACAAAAGGGACATCCTAAATGGTCACATCAGCCAGGGATGGGCCCAGCTGAAGCCAGGAGCCTAAAACTCCATCTGGGTCTCCAATGTGGGTGCAGGAGTCCAAGTGCTGAGGTCATCTGCTTTCCCAGGTACATCAGCAGGGGGTGGATTGGAAGTAGAGTAGCCAGGACCGGAACTGGCTTTCATATGGTATGCTGGCATTGCAGGTGGCATCTTAACCTCCTGTGCCACAACACTGTCCCCTATTTGTTTTTTATTTGGCTCACATGTCCTTGATTATCTTTTTCCTCTTTTTCTGACTTATTTTGATTTGAGGAATTTTTCTTTCAATTTTCTCTCTACAGATTTATTCACTGTTCCTCTTTGTGGTGTTATTTTAGTGGTTGCCTTCGGGTTTATTAGTGTACATCTTAAACTAACCAGAATCTTCCTCAGGGGGTAGTATAGTACTTTACATACAGTAGAAGAATCTCACAACAGGACACTTCCATTTCATCCCTGGTGCTGTTGCTGTCATTCACTGTTCTTCTACAGATCTACCACAGCTCACAAGTTACTGCTTTTCATTTACTATCATTTATGTGTGTGTCATATTCCTCCCCCTCAATACAAGCTACTTGAAAATGAATCAGTGTTAGCATTTGACAGATCTTCAAAACTTGTTTTTTTCAATGAATGCTAAAGATAATAAGAGAAGTAGTGCCAAAATGGCTCTGCTACTTACCAAGGTGAAGGCCTGGACTGGCCCGGCCAATGTAGACATACACAACAGCAGCAACACCCATGTTAACCAGGGTATAGACCCACTGGATCACAAACATGATGAGAAGCGACCCAACAGCCTATGGAAACAGAGTAGGAGAGACAAGACACCAATGGGTCACACAGCCAGAGCCCAAAGAAACAACAGAACACTTCTCATCAACTTCTCATCACCATAAAAGTCTGAATACAAAGTTCACTGATAATTCAAAAAACCTTACCCAAGCAGATATTTGGGAAGACACCTCCCAAAAATAACTCTTTAATTAAAAGTAGAATTACTGTTCTATCCTAGCTCCTTGTCCTACCTTTTCCTATAAAAATAATTAATATGAAATTATGCTAATTTGGAGTACTTAGAAATTTGATAACCCAGATGTTCTCAGGAACAATTAGTTCTTTGAAAAGTGAGGCACTGATTAAAATAAGCAGTTCAATAAATGTATCTTGCCACATGCAGTTCTCATGTAAACTCTAATGGGATGAGGCATGTAAAGCACAATGCACCAGATTTTGCACTCCTTCTTTCCACCCCAGCCCCTCCCCCAGGATCACATGTTTTCACCTGGAGTAGGTTTCAGGGACCATTGGGACCCAGGCGAAATTACTCACCCCCAACAGGGAGACCCAGGGATTGCACATGCGGGAGTAAACAGAAGTTGGTCTCCTCTGTTCCTGGAGCATGGACTTCAGGAAAAAATCTAAAAAAATAAATTAGCCAAGTCCCTGGTTACCAATTTGCTACCAGACCTTTTTCTATTTTTATGAGCAAGTATCCATGAGCTCCTTTTTTTCCAATTTTATAACTGCCTAAAGACAACTCCTAGTAGTGACTCTTGGAGAAGAAGAAAAATGTTGTTCGTGGGCTCCCACCAGCCAAGGATCTGAGAAAGAACAGGAAGGGAGGGGAGGGCTGACTAGAGTTGGACGCTCCCCTAAACCCATTGCGTGTCTCTCCACCTCTGACATTTGGAGAACTAGAAGTGCGGGGTAGAAACTGGAAATCTGGTAGTCTGGGCTCCCAGGTGAGACCATTGGGACCAACTGGCCAGAGTGGTTTTTGTCTACTGTAGGATGGTCTTTGCTACCTTCTGTCTCTGACGGTCAAGTCAGATTAGCCTGGTCTCACCTGATAAAGGGGTTGAGGGAAGTTGAGATGTCTGAGGAGTAAAATGGCCTGGAAATAAACACATAATGGTTCCTCCTGCCTCATTCTCCATGGATTTCAGACACATCCAAGCTTCTCAGGGCTGAGTCAGGTTCCATTCAGCTCTACCTTCCCAGGTTACAGCTGATTTCCAGAAACACTCAATTTAACCACGACAATTAACAATCTATGGATTGTGGATCTATTGTGGATATCTACTGTGGACTGTGTAACACTATGGTCTAATTACCACAAGCAACACAGTAGTGATGCAAACACATGATATGCTAGATTCACTCAGCCGGGCTCTTATACTTACTTCAGGACCAAACCTTCAGCTGTTCTCCACCTTCACGGTTGGTTGCTTGGGAAATGTAGTTGTCATCTCCCTAACTAATCCCCTCTTCATTCTTCAAACCCCATTTCTGCTTCAGTCAAACTGCCTTAGAGTGGCCATCTCCCTGCCCAGCCCTTCTCTCTTCACTGTCCTGTCTTGCACACCAGTCTTCTTCCCCATCTCGGCCACTGCTCCTGCATGGGTCCCAGACACTACCCAGGATCCACTTCTCACAGATCCCCTGTCTCCTGTTCATCCCTTGGTTATAGCTCAAATATCACTTCCTAAGAGAAGCCAGTCCCCACAACAAAATCTACATTCATGCTCTCATGCCATTAATACGTCTTTATGACCCACTTCCTTCCATTGTTTGTGGTTGTATATCTATTTCTATGTTCCCATGCCTGCTGGGTTTGATCCTTCCTGGGGCAGGGTCCACATCATCTTGAGCCCAGGACTGGTGCGTAGCTGGGACTCACCAGGTCCTCCTAGTCCAAGGCTTCCATCCTCTCTGATCACTGTAGCATACGACCTGCAGTGCACGGCATCAGACTGCGGAACACTCTACCCTCATTAGAGTCTTTTACCAATTTCCTGGTCACCATCTGCTCCTCAGTGAAGAATCTCAGCCCCTAACTCACTATCATTCTAGCATTCATCATCTTCTTGGCGGCTTCCATATAAACAGCACATCCGATGCTCTGCTCTTTGCTTGGGATTCTCTCTCCAAAATCTTTTCTTTCACTCACCTCAACTCTCAACATTTTAGCTAGTCATTACCAGTAACCTCATCCTAAACCATCATTAAGCAATCTCCTCTCACCCTTTCACTTCCTTTTTAAAAGTTTACTGATGAAAGTTTTATCTATTTACTTGAAAGGCAGAGACAGAGACAGTTATCTTCCGTTTACTGGTTCAACTGCCAATCATCTGCAATAGCTAGGGCTGGGTAAGGAGGAAGCCAGGAGCCTGGAAATCCATCTGGGTCTCCCGGATGGGTGGCAGGAACCCACATATTTGGGCCATCATTTGCTGTTCCCAAGTGCATTAGCAGGAAACTGGATCATAAGTGGAGGCAGGACTCCATCCTAGGCATTCTGATTTGGTATGCAGGTGTTCCGAGCAGCAGCTAACCCACTTAACCCAGCTTAGTGCCTTGCAGTGCCACAATGCCCACTTCTTTCATTTTATTAAAAAAAAAAATTCTTCTAAAGCTCATTTGCTCTTACTTCACCTATTCACAGCCTGGAGAGGAACCTGCAGGTGATTCACCTTACCGTGCTTATGCTTTCCATCACTTACCTCCTGTTCCACTACCCACTTACCTGGCCAAGACAATGAGTGTTCCTTTACACCTCCTGCATAGACATGGACACTTCAAAAAGTTCATGGAGCGATGGAATTAAAAGACCATTTATTCTGGTGCAAAAACTTTTGAAAATCATCCATAGCTTTTGAAAACTCCCATTTTCCAAGAACTCTTTGAAGAGCCCTCATGCATCTGCTTTCACACCTCAGCAAACCTCAGCAGCCTTATGTCAAGTCAGCTCGCCCACCCACCCTCTGACAGACAATTTATAGCCTCCCCTCTGCAAAGAGAATGACTATATCTCCTCACCATGAAATCTGCCAACCCTTTTGTATCTGTTGCCCTCCCTATTCAGCCTTCCTTCTGTTTACAGCCAAAGAACAGACTCTGCTCCTATCCCGGGACCATCCCTCTATTTTTTTGCTCAGGATCCTAACCTCTGAGCTGTTCAAGGCCTTTTCTCTCACACCATTAATTTTTCAGCCCCCTACTGAATCATTTGCGTCACAAAGACACTTGTTTCTCCCATCCAAACAAATGTCTCCAGGTCACACCCTTTTTTACCACTTTATTTTTTTGTTTCCCTTTCAGGAAATCTCAGAAGAAATGCCAACATAGGCTCTATGGCCCATTATTTACTTAGCCCAATATTAAGACTGCAAGCACTATTTCACAAAAGCTATTCTTGAGGTTGCCGGAGATTTGAATCTTTCAGAGTTGATGTTAACTCCCAGTCCCTTGACCTTTCTGACAGTATCTGACTCACATGACCACTTCCACCTTCTTGAAATACTGTCTTCTCAAGACTCCTCCCTTTCCTGCTGTCCTTATATTTCATTGCCCACTCTTTCTCATTTTCCTTTGCTGGCTCACCTCCTCTTTCTCAACTGAAAATACTGAAGTATCCCAATAGTCAGTCCCCAACACTCTTTTCTCTTCCATACACACTACTCCTAAAAGATCCTATCTGTCTCCACAGCTTAAAATACTATTCATACATTGATGATTCCAAATTTATATCATCCTTGACCTCTCTCTTCCTTGAATTGATATTTTGAGTATCTAATGGTCTTCTAAAATCTCTCTTTAGATGACCAATAAGCACCTCAAAGTTAACCTAGCTGAAACATAAATCTGTTCTCCCTAAGTCTTCTTCCTATGAATAAACGACACCACCACTGTTTATGCAAACATCCAAGTATCATCTTCTGTTTCTCCCACGTTCCATCCATAAATACTGTTGATACTACCATCCAAACACAGTCTGGATATGTTCACCCCTCCCTACCTCCATTGCTCCCAGCCTGTCTAAGCTACTTTCCTCTCATCTATTTACTACAGAGGACCACAGCTAGCACACATTTCTTGGGATTTCTTGCAGCTGGGTGTGGCCATGTGATTAAGTTCTCATTTACAGAATGTGGACATGGTGAATGCCACTTCTGAATCAAGTTCTTTAGGAGAATGTGTGCCTCCGCTCCCTCAGACCTACCCCTAAGGGTAAAGCTAAAAACTTGCCATAGGACTCCAAATCCCATTAAGTTGGCAGGTACCAATGCCATCTTACTAGTTACTGTGATCAGTTTAAGTTCATAAGTGATCATAAAGATAGGATTAAGTATCAAAGGGATCATCACATAAATAAGATTAGTGTCTGCTAATAATAATTGACAGAATTAAAAAGGAGAGAATGATCTAACATGGGAAGCAGGATACACAGCAGACTCATAGAATGGAAAATGCTCTAAACAGCACTCTAGCCTCAGAATCAGCCCTTAAGGCATTCGGATCTGGCTAAAAAGACCATGAGAGAATTTCAGGCATGGAAAGCCAAGATACCATGGTAAGAAATGACCAAAATGAAAGATCTCTGTGAGTGAGATCCCAGTGGAAAGAAGGGGCCATCAAAGAAGGAGGTACCTTTCTCTGAAGGGAGAACTTCCACTTTGATTATGGCCTTGTCTAAATAAGTTGAAGTTTGTGAACTCAAGAGGCTTCCATAGCCTTGGTAGCTCATGACAAGAGCCTTGGGTGATTACTGACATTATAAATAAGAGTGTCAATTGTTAAATCAACAACAGGAGTCATGTAGGACCTCTGTCCTTAATGTGTTGTACTATGAGAATTAAGAGTAAAACTAAGACTTCAAACAGTACTTTATACTTTGTATGTCTGTGTGGGTGCAATCTGTTGAAATCTTTACTAAGTATATACTAAGTTGATCTTATATATATAAAGATAATTAAAAATGAATCTAATGAAGATTGGGATGGGAGAGGGAGTGGGAGATGGGATCATTTGCAGGTGGGAGGGTGGTTATGGGAGGAAGAACCACTATAATCCAAAAATTGTACTTTCAAAATTTATATTTATTAAATAAAAGTTTTCTATTAAAAAAAAAAGAGAATGTGGGCCTCTTCGTGATCTTTCTCCTTCCTCTGCCTGAAACATGACTATGGGAACTCAGGCTTGACTTTGCACATGACAAGGTTCAAGGAGATGATGAAATTAAACAAATGGAATGAGCTGGTTTCCTGAATCAATGAATGAGGAGGGAGGGCCTCCCACTGATTTAAAACACCCTTTTTGGACTACTCATGGAGGCAAGAAAAAAATTTCTATTGTGTTTGAACCACTACATTTTTGGTTACTTTAGCCCATCCAAATACACTTCCAAACTGGCCTTGGTTCCCTGTCTTATCTCTAAACAATCTACTCCTCCCAAAGTCAGTGATCTTCTCACAGCTTGAAGATCTCACTTTCCTCACTGAACCCCTATCTTAGCTCTCTCCCTGGTTCCCTGCTGACCCTCTGCTGCTCTCTTCCTATCGAGATCTTTTCTGATGAACATGTCTGAAATAGTACACCTCCCTCCCCACCCCATATCCCTCTAGCCTGATACTCCACT